TGGCTCTCTAGCTCTATATTTGACTATGTTTCTATGTACCTTTAATGCCTTAATTGTTTTCGAGTATTTTGGTTTGTTGGTTTTATATATCTATTCCCATCTATGACTTGATTATTAACTTACTTGTTTATATTATTCTATTTAACTTAGAATTGTTAATTCAGATATTGCCAAAGAAAATATAGATGTAAGCCCTTTATATGAAAATCTTGACTCCGCCGCCTGATGGCAAAATCATTTTCATTTATTATGATAGAAGGTGAAAAATACCATGATGTTCGCAAATGACTTCTGTGAAAACATTCCCCAAATATGGATAAGTTTTCAATTTTGAACACCTTAAATACTAAAATGATTTTCGCAGGCCATGTCAGTTTTTCACGGATGGCAAAGATAAATCTCAAATTTTTTGCTTAAATCTTGGAAAAGTAATAAATAAGATTAGCCTTATTATTTCTTAAATAAATTCCATTAATTAAATACTCTTATGAACATATCCAGAAGTATTTTACTTCTCTCATGAAACTCATTTCTCGATTTAAACAGAGTGATGTAGGAAGCCTTGTGTTTCTCCTAGACCCACATCAGCAACATATAAAGAAACTCAATTCATGGTGGTAAATGATTCTTGTAGTAGGAGTGTGATGGAGTTTGCAAGGATAAAAAAAGAGCGTAACCCATATGAGCCAATCACAACGCGCCACGAGGGCATCATCCTATCTTCATCAGTCCTCACATCTTCAAACTTCATATCCCTCTTCCCCGTGTACACTTGCAGTTTCTGGCTGACTGGCTGGAAAACCGACCGGGACACAGAGAAGTATGGCAGCCACACTCGCTTTTCTTCAAATCCCAACGATTCCCTCTAAATCATCATCACCTTCGCAATGCTTAATTCCATCCGTCGATTCCAGTAAAATACACGTCTCTAATCATCCGATCAATGCCCTCCACCTCCACCTTCACCACTTAAAATCGGTTTCTCTCCCTCTTTCAGCAGTCACATTACCCTTCTTTTTAAACCCACAGGCATGCCTCCCGTTGAATTCCATTCAGTAAATTTCATATATTTGGTACTGCAATTTACTAATTAGGCTTCTTTCCGGCACCAACAGGATGCATTTGCTGCTGGTGGCGAATATGGGATACTGGAGGGGAGATCACTGGCCTTGATTCACCCAATTGTGATGGGTGGTCTGTTCGTTTATACACTTTATGCTGGGTATTTGGGATGGCAATGGAGGAGGGTGCGAACAATTCAGGATGAGATTAACGAGTTGAAGAAGCTAGAGAAGCCTGTTCCCGTCACCCCCGAGGGAACCCCACTCCAATCCACAACTCCTTCACCACTTCAAGCCAAAATTCAACAGCTTTCTGAGGTTTGCTCATCTAATTTTCTGCAATCCATGTAATCACACTTTTTGCCCTAAATTCTCTCCAAATAAAATCTCACAGGAAAGGAAGGAATTGATCAAGGGACAATATAAGGAAAAACATTTCAACGCAGGCTCGATCTTGCTTGCGTTTGGTGTGTTTGAATCCATTGGTGGCGGAGTCAACACCTATCTCAGGACCGGAAAGCTATTCCCGGGGCCCCATCTATACGCCGGTGCAGGTAACTTGTTGGTTGATTGATTGGTATCTTAGAAACAACAAACATAGGAAAAATCACAATTAGGGCAACCAATTTTAGCGATGATAATGATTTTACTGATTTTGGGAGTATTTGGAACAGCAATAACGGTGCTTTGGGCTGCAGCTGCTGCTCTTGTTCCCCCTATGCAGAAAGGAAGCGAAACAGCCCGGAACCTTCATATTGCATTGAACGTACTAAATGTTCTTCTTTTCATATCCCAGATCCCAACTGGGTGGGATATTGTTCTTAAAGTGTTTGAGTTCACCAAATGGCCCTGATCTTACTTCATTCTTTCGTATTTCAATCACCAAATTTAGATATCTTAATTAAGTGTATGTATAGTGTATACACTATACACTATACACCACTATTATAACAATAACATTTGCATTCCAAGTAAAGTGTGACTGAAAAATGAATACTGTATGTAGAAGATTACATATAAATGCTAGTTTTGTTCAAGTATTCAAATTTCCAAAGCTTGTTTTATAGAGCTTACACAACTGCACAATATGGATTATATAAGAGTTATCGACATGAAGGCACGATAAAGTGTTCGGTTTTCACTTTAAGTAACAATTTAACTTTTTTTTTTTGGACTTGTTAGAGCATTTAACTCGAAATTTACATGTTTAAAAATACCATTTTATTCAAAATGAGTAGGTTTCGGTTACAGTGTTGATGTGTACATTGACTTCAGATAGTCAAATGTTTCCATAACCACGTGGACTTTGAAATTGAAGTACACCTGGCAATTTCAGACACGAAGACACGAATCTGTGAGAGACACGACACGACACGGATACACGACATGAATACATCTTAAAAATTGAGATAAAACTTATTTCTTATCGTGTAATCGTATCTTGTCAAATTCGTGGCTGACACGTTTTCATGACACGAATACACGAATTGCCAGGTCTAAACTGAAGAACCACCACCTATCTTCCCCACCACAACCTCGGTACACCTCCTCCTACTACCACCATCACCAACACTTTATTGTGCTTTCATGTCAATAAACCTAACATAAACCCTAGTCTAAGAAAGAGTACATGAACCTGAGAAATGAAACCTATATCAACTGGGAAAAGTTGCAACTCTATTTTCCAAAAAATAAACAATCATTAGACAACCAGTACCGTTCATCTTCAATGAATGTTTCGAATGCATGCTCCAAATTTTATTTTGCAAGTAACAACCCTTGCAAACCTAGATCAATCAATTCAAGGTTGTCGCCTCCATATTTCATCTTTTTGTATAAATCATCATCCCGCCTGTAGAGTCGAAAGTTGTAGTGATTAGTGAAAGCTATGTCTTTACGTATCGCGTCTGTAAATAGCGAATGTTAAGTACTTTCGTTATCTTATCTATTTACAAGGGACTTTAAGTTTTGCATTGTATGTTCCATACATGTATTTTTTTGTGTCTGTGATGTACCCTATAAATAGGGTAGATGCTTAGGTCTGGAGTAACAAACACTCTCAGATTACACTTTGTACTCAAAACCTTTGTACTCTTTCCAAACGTAATCGGAGCTAAACATATCTTATTTAGATATGGGTGTTCTTTGTCGCTTTCTTAGATTCGATTGATACAAACATTATTTCAAACACTCTACAATTCATATCAGAGCGGGGTTCACTTCTTTGATTGAAGAATCTACGTTGTGTATTTTTTTCGTCTTTTTGAGTCGCTAATTACGATTCATTTTTCTGCAATCTTATTCCCATGTGCAATCATATCTTATGCAACTCCAACATTAACAACTGCTTGAATCAGATTTGCTCGATAAGGTCCATGTTCAATTGGCCTCCACAGGTCTTCCTCGATTACATTTAGGTAATCTTTCATCCGATCAGTCCACTAATCATAATACTCGGGAATCAACATCTTAATCTTCGTTGCAGATCCAAGAAGATTTGTGTAGTTCATCATCGTGTTCACATTGAGATTAGCCATTTGATTTGATTTGAATAAAAGATAAATTTATAGAATAGAATTGAGATGATTATAAGATCGATTGACCGAAACAATAGTAGAATCAATTAATCACTTATTGATTAAGTGAAGAATTTGCGTTTTCAAATTAGCTAATGATAAGAAAGCTCTTCGTGAATTGAGAGGTGCTCTTCCTCCAGTTGTCTACAACTACGTTTGTAACATCCCGACTCCCAGGTATTTTATTTATTTATTTTGGGATTTAATGAGTGACTCGACGAGTTGTGTGTCCGACTCGTCGAGTAGAGTTGGATTAGTCACGTGGGTTTAATGACCGACTCGACGAGTCAGAGAGCCGACTCGCCGAGTTGGCGTTGTGTGAGGAAACCCTAAATCCCCGGGTTTAGAGCCTATTTAAGGAAACTTATGTCCTTATTTCCGCCTCACCAGCTGCCCAACCCTCCTGTGTGAAACCCTAATCGGCCATTGAGCTAAGAGAGAGTGATAGAGCTAATATTTGAGTGTTTTGGTGAATCATTTGAAAGGGAAGAAGTGAGATACAAGCAAGGAACGAGGAGAGGTTGTGGGATCCAGTATTCTTTCACTTGGAGCTTCTATTAAAAGGTAAAAGCCATCACCTTGCTCATCATGTTGTTTAGATCTTGCTAATGAGGATCTTTTGTGGCTTTTTCCATATTTCCTTGAGATTTGGTATGACTTGTGCTTGCCAAGCATTGAGACATCAGATCTGGACCTTGTGACGTCCATAGAATCTAAAGGTTCCAGCTTTATCCAGCCATAAAAGAGTTATTGTGGTTAAACACCTTAGTTAGAGCTTGTAGTGGCATCATGGAGCAAATATGCCATGCATGAACATAAAGATTGAAGCTTTACATAACATTCGAACCTTGGGAGGCTAGATCTAGAGTTTGGAGTGGTAGATCTGCCTTAAAATGCCTGAATGAGAGTTTGGCTTAGGGGAATCGACGAGTCAATAAGCTGACTCGACGAGTCGGCTAGGGTTTTCCCCGAAGAGTCTGGGCAAGGGTGACTCAGTGAGTTGATGAGACAACCCGACGAGTTAAGTTGGAACAATGGGAACTCGGTGAGTCACATAGGTGCACTCGGCGAGTTGGGTCAACATGGACTGTTGACTCGAGTTTGACTATTGTTGACTTTAGGGTTTGGTCAATCATGAGTCATGGTGACCGTGGAGGGGTAAAATGGTCTTTTTCCCCAATCCAAGAGTTAGAGAGGGAAAATAACTTAGTTTGTTAGAATTTGTGATTTAACTGTTAATTAGAGATAATTATCATATATGAATAGGCGGAGGCTAGAATCGGTGATTCGTGTTCGAGGAGTACACATTTCCTTAGCTTTCGTACAAGGTGAGTCTTCTCACTATACTTATCATGAGTGGTGACCTTGTGTGACCGGAAGGTCTTGTATGCTTGCTCTGATTATTGTGATATCATGCATCATGTCTTTTGTGATTATGTTGTGTAATATTATTATGAGTTTTAGTGAGTTAGGACTAGAGGGTCCATCCGAGTTGTGGGACCGGAGGGTCTCCATTGAGACACATTGACCGGAGGGTCTTATTTGAGATATGTGCGGTATTTTAGGGAACTCACTAAGCTTCATGCTTACCGTGTTATGTGTTATGTGTTTCAGGTACCTCTCAGGACCGCGGGAAGGCACCAGCATGATTGTACACACCTGCCCGAGACTATGTTGAGGATTCTGGGATTTGACTTTTATTGTGGATTTATGTTGACAATTGAGACACTTGTGATTTTATGAGATATTTCAAAAGTTTATGTGTTTTATAAATGAAAATTTTGGTTTGAAAATTTACGGTGTTACAAGTTGGTATTAGAGCCTTGGTTTGAGGGATTCGGATGCACCTTCGGGTATGTCTGGTCTCAAACTAAGGATTTGAGAAAGATTTTCAAAAGAAATGATTTTTCTAAAACGAGTAAGAGTTTCTAAGAGAAAAACGAGAAGGAGCATTGTGTATAATCAGCCAGAGCTCGAACGGTGATTTCCCAAAATATCCTTGTATGTTTATATTATAAGATATTATGTGGTGTTCAGGATGCATGCTAGAGAATAGGCTAGGAAGTTCATATCTTAGGGCTAGAGATGCCTGATTTGTGATGCCTTAGCTTAGGAAATGTCACTATCTGTTACTTTCCTTGAGTAGGTGTTGAGTAGGAGTATCTAGCAGGAATTTCTTAGAAAGAGTTCTGAGTCGAGGGATACTCTAGGAGAGATACCTAGATGAGCATACGGGTACCCTACTAAGAGAATAGTTTGATATTGTGAGAAATAGAGTACTTGTGAGTTCGAATCCTGGGAGGAGGACTTGGAATGACTATAGATTGGTGTGGAAGGTAGTATTGGGCCCGTACTACTGAAAGCACCGGATCTGTATGCAATCCAAGTAAGAATCCTTAAGATGCTAAGGAGCATGTAGGGGCGGGCATTCGAGTGTGAGTATATTCGAGCGAGTCTCTGATAGTTTTGTGTTGTGTTTCAGAGACATCATGGTGGGGACACGCCACAACCCCGGGAGCAGTGGGACCAGTGACGATGAGATCTGCAGGATCATTCATGAGGACGTGGCCTCAGCCATTCGAGAGGCGATACCGAAGATGTTTGGGTCTATCAAGACCACGTTGATTGAGATGTATGATGAGTGCTATGTTGTCATTACTGAGGCTGCTGTTGCTGCAACCACCGCAACCATAGGCGCTGCCAGGACACAGGGAGGTGACTCCTTGTTGCTACGGGAGTTCAGCAACATGAAGCCATCGGAGTTTGATGGGGCGCAAGATTCAATAGCTGCTATGAGATGGATCTCCGACATCGAGGGATGTTTTTACACATGTTCATGCCCAGAGCACTTGAGAGTTCAGTTTGCGCTGAACCAGCTTCGCTTGGGAGCGAAGGACTGGTGGAAGTTCATGACTACCAGCTTTACTCCTGCAGATCATGCTGCAGTGACATGGGAGAGGTTTACACGGATGTTTCGAGATGAGTATGTTCCCCCGATGGAGAGGGAACAGTTAGCCCAAGAGTTTCTGTCTCTCAAGCAGAAGACAGAAACTGTGACCGAGATCACGAGGATGTTCCATGAGAAGGCACTGTTTTTCCCTGAGCACGTGTCTATCGAGCAGGCACGTGTGAGCCGATATCTGAGCATACTGAGGAAGGATATACGGGAGTTCGTGGCGAACTCGTCATACCAGACATTTGCTGAGCTTCAGACCAATGCAAGGCGGAGGGAGATTGAGCTAGAGCTACAAGCGAGAGAGGAGGGGTAGTCCCAGGG